CCATATTTCTTGCTTCTTATAATGTATGTTTAATAACCTGTCATTACATTTGATGTTTAAAAAGCAAATTGTCGAATATTTTCAAAAGCTAAATTATTAATAAAACGGTGATTAATCATAATGGATTGTAAATACACCGAGCGAAGTGACTCAGTGCGTAGCGCGCTGACTTCCCAATCGGGAGGTCCCGGTTCGATCCTCGGGCCGGCCATTCTGATCAAAAGACGAATGCTGGATGTTTCAAAATTACCACGATCCCCTCCCACCATCAACCTAGTCCTTACTCATCATCATCAACCCATCACTTCATTAAGCGCAAGAGACTATTCTTGCGCTTAATAGGATCTTAGTTAGCTAATATAATAATAAATATAATTATGATGATAAATAATGTTGACTGAAAATAACGATAAAAATAATATTAAAAATAGTAATGCATAAATAATTAAAATATTGCGTGAGGCATTCGCTTGTGCGTGAATCACGTGATATATAAACTTACAAACTTTCGGCTGATTCTAAATTCCATTCAGCGTCTGATTCGAAGTATCGGCGTTAAATTAAAAAGCGACAATGGGTTCCTGAAATGCTCAGGAGGAATTACAATTTTACCCGACAGTATATGGGCGGCTGATGATTAATCCGTATCCCGAAAACGATCTCTGAGGCTCAATTTCTTTCGCGCAGTATTATGGTTTCGTTCTAAGAGCAGCGGATCTCTTATTTTGGAGTTGTGCCGTTGACTATAATTTTGTCTTTTTTATTATAACCCTTCTCATGTTTAAGTTCACTCTACATATTATTGTAGTCTAATATAAACCTAATGCTAATAACTAATTCTAAAATTCACATTTTGAGAAAATAATCCTTTATGAAGAGACCTTAAAGGAGTGACATTTCGAAAAACCTTGTAAGGAAGTTATAGAATATAAATTTATTTTTAATACATGTATCGTGAGTGGAATTTCTGCCTAACCAGAGGGGATTTCTGCTGATTTGTGGAAAGCTGTGCTAAAACTGTGTGAAGAGATCCGTGATGTGGTTTTCTATAGTTTCGAGTTCATTTCTATAGTTTCGTAATTCATTTTGCAGCTGTTGGTTGGAAATAAACCATGGTGCATTTGTACTTGTACGGACACACTGGTTTGAACGACCTGTAGTTTTAGCGTGTTCGATCTTACGGCATTTAT